CACTCCAGTGTTCTTGCTCCCTCCCGGCAGTCTCTGTGGCAAGCCCCCAAGCAGGCTCCGCTTCAGCTCAGTCTGTTGGGGACCACCAGCCTACTGTCTGTCCCCTTTGGGACAGCGCCCAGACACATAACATAATACCCCAAATTAGATGTCCCCTGTTTAGCCTGTCCCCCTGGCACAGCCCTTAAGAAGACAGTGAACAGTCAAAAATGTTCACAGAGTCAGATTTCAAAGTTCCTAAGGTTCTGTGACATGTGCAGGCTGATCAGTGGTGGACTGGATACCGTGAGCTGCCCTCACCTCACGGCACCTCACCCTTGTGAGCGTGTCTGGCCTGAATACACCGGACAGTCGGAGGGCGGGGCTTTGCTTACTCACGTGAGTGATGGGTCGTGTTGAAGGTGCGTGGCTGACCTACTTGGGTACATGCTGATCTTACAGTATGCTGGCAGGTCTGTAATTTATCCTCAAACAGCAAAGCGCTAGCCACCTCGCCCTTTTCCGTGTGAAGGTGTTCTGGAGATGTGCTGACTCCTTCTTTCCTTCCTCTTCTTTTTTAATTGCTGCAAATAGTTTGCTCAGCTCAGGAACAACAGACGAAAACAAAGAGAACGACCTCAGACCTTCCTTACCTCCGTCTTACGCAGCAACTGTAGCAAGGCCCAGCACATCTGCGGCCTCCACTGTGCCAGGTGAGTGGCTACCATGGGACCCATCCTACAGGGCTGCCTTCTCCCCCGTGCTGTTGTCTTAGGCTGAGCACTCTCCGTGGTTATTTCCTCACTGGGAGGCCTGGTAATAGTCCTCAACCTCAGGTCGCTAGCACTGAGGGATGTAGCCCAAGGTTTGTTTCCCCCCCTCCCTGTCTCCCTTCTTTCCTTTTTGTTTCCTTTCCTTCTTTCTTTTTTTGTTTTGTTTTTCGGGACAGGGTTTCTCTGTATTGTTTTGGAGGCTGTCCTGGAACTCACTCTGTAGACCAGGCTGGCCTCGAACTCCCAGAGATCCTCCTGCCTCTGCCTCCCTCTGCTGAGACTAAAGGCACCAGTTAATAAGCAATAACCGTTTGCTTCTTGAAGAGTTCCAAAGAGCTGGAGTTTCAAGCAGGAGTGGGTGAGACCTGCTTTCCTCGCAGGGCTCAGGGACTAGATGGGGAGAGGATTTAGAGTCACCTGGGCCGCCCTCTCTTTGGGAGGCAGAGATGCATCCCCACTGCTTCCATTCTCCCCTTTCCTCAGGTCCTGAGCCTCCAGCACCCACCACGGGGCGCCCACCCACCACGGGGCGCCCACCCACCACGGGGCGCCACCTGTTTCATTTCTAACTCTTGCTTTCAGGTTACTCTGAGGACGGTGGGGCTCTCCGAGGAGAAGTTATTCCAGAACACGAGTTTGCAACGGGACCAGTGTGTCTTGACGATGAGAATGAGTTTCCCCCTGTGAGCATTCGGAACCCTTAACAGAGTTACTCCATCTGTGTGCCTGGAAGAAAGCTTTGCCTCCCACAAGAGGCAAAGTCACTGCCCCGTGCTCCAGCTCCTAACCACTAACCCTCTCTCAAATGCTCAGAGTTGTAGGGCACCCACGCTGCAGCTTCAGATCCTACAGGCTAAACAGTTGGTGTGGCGCTTGAAGCCTGACAGCGTTACCATAACCAAATACTAACCTGGGTCACCAGAGACCCAGACTCCTTGCCTCTGCCTCTCTGCCTACACTGCCTTTGCTGCTTGTGAGGTCAGGGTTTCTGCCTGGTTTTCCAAGGTGCCTAGGAATGCCCTTGTAGAATGCTGCCTGTTACTTGTTATGGTGAGTTAAAGGGGCGAGGTCAGGTTTGGGTCCCTGAGCTGGCTGCAGGAGCTGACCTGTGCCCTGCCTGCAGCTCTGGCTTTGCGCTCTTGAACATCCACAGGAGCTGCGGGCACTCACCAGGAAACCGCACGTATAAACGCAGTGTGGGTGGCATGAGCTCACCTGGACACCTTCAGCAAGGCTTCCTGGCAACCTACTTCAGCTTGCTGGCAGTAAGAGACACCATGGGTGGCTGAGCACTGGCCTTGGTTTCTACCAACTCTACCAACGGCTGGAGGAAAGATTCTCTACCCCACTCTGGGTACTATCAGGGCCCCCTTAGCTGCTGCGTCTTCAAGCAGCATGCACCCCTCCTGTGAATTTCGGTTAGAAAGCACACTAGTGACTAGGGGCATGACTCAGCTTGTAGAGCGCTTGCCTATGCATGAAGCCCCGGGTTCAGTTCCCAACAGCACATAAAACTGAGTGTGGAGCCAGGCACTCGGTGAGTTCGAGGTCAGCCTGGTCTACAGAGCGAGTTCCAGGACAGCCTCCAAAACAATACAGAGAAACCCTGTCTAGAAAAAACAAAAATCTGAGTGTGGTCATGCACACCTGTAATTCTAGTGCCTGGGAGATGGAGGCAGGAGTGGAGTATCAGACATTCAGGATCATCTTAGCTTGAAACAGTTTCAGATGGATCCAAAGCCATGTCAGGACTTAGGGAATAGAAGGGAGTGCTCCTGTGGGCCCTGAAGAGGGTGAGGCCCCCTTTTCGTGTGACTAGGAGGTACCGGTGACTTCCACGTTGGCTTTCTTGATTTGAAATTTACATTTGTGGACTTTCATAGGCAAGTTGCCAAATATATTGCCACCAAGTGACATTATATAGTAATGGTGGGAAGGAGGAGTTCTTTTTAAAAAATTAATTATGCATTTTAGGGCAGCCATTGGCCACTGCCTAAGAGTTGCTGCCTAACCCAGTGGTGCCTTTGGGCTCCCCCAATGCCACCTAGAACTATAAAGAGATTTCATGTCTTCTGAAAGTTAGTCGTTATTTGCCTATTTAACTGACATTACATCTCCCCAGAGCCAGAGCATTCTAGGTCAGACGGTGGGAACAAACATGACCAGAGCATCCTAGCCTGCCAAGGTCTGATGCTTGATCGGTTCTGTTTTAGCAATTTTGGTAAAAATCTGAGCTGCTGTAGAAGACCGGTACATCTCAAAATAGTCTTCACTGCGGTCAGAGCAGAGCTTGCAACCTCCTGTGCTTACAGAATTAGAGTAATTTCAACAATGGCATGTAGGACGTGGTCCCTTGCTGGAGGAACCCTGTATAAAATAACAACCTGAGTAAGCCATTTTCCCGCTAGGACATCGGGTACAAACCAGTTGTCCTGTCTCCCTCTTAAGGAGCAAATCCGTGAAAGTTGGCTTAAGCTGCAATTTAAACTTCTTGTTTAGGCTAGGGAATGTAGCTAGGCTCAGGGAATAGACACTGGGTCCATCCCCAGCCTCAAAAAAAAAAGTTTATACATAAGAAATTCTCCCTGCCCAAGAAGTGTTTGTCAATAAACCAGTTCCCTGAACTGTTAGAGTCCAGCTACGATGGTGGCCTCTGGGTGCCTGCAGATGCTGGGTGTCATGGTGGCCACCCGGCCCAGACTTCCACAGCCTGCAGGCAGATGAAGAGGAGCCAATGTCCCGACTGAGGTCCTGGGTCAGCAGCAGGCAAGCTTCTCTGTCACCAGGCACAGGGAGCAGAGGCGAAAGTGCTGCTGGGCTGCTGTTGAGGGCAGACATCTCAGTCATGCCCCTGTAGCCTAAGTGTTGGGCTGGGCTCCCTAGGAAAGCCCCTGCCCCTGCCTGTATTCTTAACTGCATGCCTCTTGCAAATACTTTCCCAGAGTCCCTATCTTTTCTCACCGTTCTCTAGAAGCTTCTGAGACTACAAAAGGATCTTTGGAGTCTCAGCTTAGCAAAAGCACTTCCCTTTTTGGTGGGAATATTGGGCACACTGGCGGGGTCAGCCTCCAGCCCCTGGGCCTCTGCCCTAAGCCCCTGAGTCATCACCAGCTCCCTTTAAAAAGTAGACTGCCACTGCCCTCCCTCCCAGCGCACTCTCCTCTCTGGGACTGACTTCGCTTGGAGACCAGCAAGAGAAAAGCAAACCCATCATCATCTCTCGTGCCCCGGGAAAGGCTTTGAGGAAGGCTGGCAGCTTTTGCCTCATTAGCAAGCCAGCATGCAATCTGTGTACTTACTCTGTGACACTCAGACTAACCTGGTGAGCGAAGGGACAGCCAGATGACCAAGAGCCTATGCTGACGTGTTGTGTTCTTTTTACAGCCATTTAGCAGTCCATGTTTACAGTAGGATGGGCCGTCAGGGAGGGGCAGCACATGTACACAGAAGCACACATGTGGACACATGCAGTTTTCAAACAGTATTGTTGGGACCTGGGCCACAGTTGTCCACACCTACACAAGATGGGTGGATTTTCCCATGGCCATGCATGAGGGTCAGTCTGTGGGCGTATATAAACGTTTCAAAAGGCTCGGCCTCCCCTGCTGACCCGCATAGCAAAGGCCCATGGGTAACCCAGCCTGCCTCTCCCGAGGAGAGTAAGGCCCTTCTGTTTTGATTTTGGTAGATAATCTTGTGCCGCGGAAGTCAGAAGGGCAAAACGAAGCAATCCTGACGAGAAGCACACCCCAGAAGTCAGGACACCCCTGTCGGGTGGTTTTGGAGAGAACAAGGACAGTGGAAGAGACGGAGTGCAATCAGTTGTGTGAGCAGACAGGGAAGGGAGGCAGGAGTCCCGGGTGCCTCGCTGCCTGAGCCATAGACCGTGGTTAGACCCCACCCAGCCCCCTCAGCCTTGGCTGCCAGTGGGTGAGGAGAACATTGGAGTCGTGTCATGCTATTTAAAATACCTTCAAACCACAGTGTAAATGCTAACTAACCATATTGGTATATAACCGGAATTTTATATTAAAAAGGGCATCCTTGTCAAATGTATGCTGTGTTTAAAAAAAAAAATGTACTTAGTGGGAAATCTCTTTGAATTGTGTTTCTTGTATATTACAGACATATATAGAGAGAAACTATTTTAGCCAGGCAAAGTATTTTTGCAGTGATTAGAATAAATCATTTATTACCCTTGAGTCCCATTCAGGACACTAATTAAATAAAATCATGGCAATGCATTTGTGAGTTGTTTACATTTTTTTGTTTTATTTCTTGGAAGTTGTAAGGGCTTGGAGGAAATCTTAATCTTATTTTAAAAGATTATTTTTAATATATGAGTGTTTTGCTTACACATATGCATGTCTGGCATCCTCAGAGGCAAAAAGAGAGTGATGGGTCCTTTGAACTGGTATTATAATTTAAGCCACCATGTAGGTGTTGGGAACAGAAGCCAGATCCAGTGCTCTTAACTGATGGGCCAATCTCTTCAGCCCCAAACTGCTAAATATTTATAGTATGCCCATTTGACATTCACAAGAGAGAAAGCCCATAAGTTCTTCTGCTCCAAGTCCTGGGAAAACCTAACTTCTGTTTAGCTCTGTGCTATTCAAGGCATCTCAAAGAAATCTAGCAATGCTGGGCATTGGTGGCTCACGCCTTTAATCCCAGTACTCAGGAGGCAGAGGCAAGCAAATCTCTGTGAGTTCAAGGCCAGCCTGATCTACAGAGCGAGTTCCAAGACAGCCTCCAAAACAATACAGAGAAACCCTGTCTCAAGAAAAAAAAAGAAGAAGAAGAAGAAGAGAGAAATCTAGCAACAATGTAGTCTCCCTGACCCTCCTCCAGATCTTCTGGGCCATTCTACATTTTGCAAGATCCCCAGCGGTGAATTCTACGGGTATGGAAGATGGCTGAGCTTTACATACAAGCCAGAGTGAGTTTGCGCTCCATTGACCAGTGAAACTGGGGGCACAAGATAGAAACTAAAACAGGCAACTTCACGAGTTAACGTTAAACCTTCGAAATCTACTCTGCAATTGACATTTAAGTCACTGCCCAAGCTTAAAACCTGGGGCTTGGACCTGTGCCTCGACTCCATAGCCCACTAGTGCTTAATCATGCCATGCCCATTGCACCGGTGCTCGATGCTTCTCAAACATGCATGCAGTCTACACAGGAAGAGGGAAAGCTGTGCCTTACAAAACAAATTGTGCAACTTCCTTCCCAAAGTAGGCATCCATGGCCAACATGAACTTTGGAAGTGAACCTACCTGTCTACAATTCCTAGGTAGTCTTTCTCACGTGAAAAACTACCTGTCACACAGTTTGGCAACGGCAGGCAATTTGGGAGTGGCTACAGCAGGGAGTCACGGAAGGGTCCTGGGTGTAGTCTGCTCGGGAGATGTTGTCATTAGCGACGTCTCGAAGGACATCTGCAAGAACCCTGGTGACCTTCGGCAGCACCGCCTGGTACTCGGGGCTTCCTCTCTGAAGAGGCACAGCTTCTGCAGCATCTTCTTCTAGGTTGAAAATGAGAGGGGAATCGTGGTGTTGCTCGGGACCCGTGCTCCCATCACAAGCTTTGGCTCCCCCTACAGGAAGGATAGACAAAATTGTTAAGCCCAACCTTCACCCTGAGCTGCAAAAGACACACCAGCCCTGGGTATTCAAGCAATTGCTTTCGCTTTCCCTGCCAAAACTATTACCTTGAAATTGGAATCTGTCTTTCTGGTGATGATCGCCTATCCAGAGGGATTAGGTATGCCCCCACTTGGATTTGCCTTCCATCTGAACCAGTGGCCTCTGAGAGCAAACCTCTTGTGGTTTTTAAACATGTAACTGGGGATGGGGAGCTATGCCATGGCAGACACAAGGAGGTCACAGGACAACTTCACAGAGCTGGTTCTCTCCTGCCACTGTGAGCCCAAGCAAGCAAACTCATTTCCGGGTTGGTGTGGCAAGAGCTTTTTACCCACCAAGCCATCTTGTCGGTCCCTAAACCTGACATTTTTGAACACTGATTTCTCCAATGGTGATTGCTGAGCTTGGTGGATGTCAAGATGGTTAATTTCCCTGAACTGAAGATGATGTCATTACATCACCTCAAGTGTCAGCCACTCAAGTGCCAGGATGACAGGTGTCTACAACCTTGCTCAGTCTGAGGACATTCTTACAACAGAAAAATACAACTGTGATTAGCAGAGTCCCGCTGTGGTGTGTTCTCACCTCAGGATGCCAGCACAACGCCACAGCTCAACTCAGAAAAAAAAAATCGAAAGCCAGCACTCCACAGACACAGCTTTCTCAGTCCAAAATGGATGGAAATAAAAAGGGAACTCTCAAGAAGAATGAGTAGATCCCATAGACTTCAGCAGATCAAAGCCTCTATTAGGGGTCTCCGCCCATGAAGGATACTTGGGTCCAGCAGAAACTAGGGATCACCATCTTTGTCTAGAGTTAACTAAAATTTGTCTCTCCATCACCAGCAAGGAGCACTTGAAGTTACACAAGCTTTGAAAGTCAAGGAAGAGCAGGGAGTGACTTGTAAAAGTTAAATAACCACTGAGTATGGTGGCACGGGCCTTTAATAGCAGCATGTGGGAGCCAGAGGCAAGCAGATCCAAGATGGGGCATGGTAAAGCATGCCTGGAATCCAGAGGGAGACAAGAAGATCAGGAGTTCAAGACCAGCCTTGGCTACAAAGTAAACTGAGGCCAACCTGAGCTACATGAGACCTAATCTTCAAAACAATTAAAAAAATAACACCAGACACATAATGGATGGCTCAGCATATACACAAATAATGCTTACTACATAAGGCAAAAAAAAGTCAGATCCCCCAGAACCCACACAAAGAATGGTACAGAGGCCACAAATGTAGTTAGTCTCTACATGTATACCATAATACACAGAGACCTGCAAATACACATCACACACAGTAATAATAAACCTAAACCTCTCTTAAGGCAGGAGTACACTAGGCATCCTCTAGCTAGCAAAATGAGCTCTAGGTGATATGTTTTAGCAAATAAAAGCACTGTAGTGGAATCAGCAAGACAGGCAGAGGCTGGAAGGGACTCGACCCTGCAGAGAAGAAAGCCACAGTACTGGACATGGTCCAAAGCCCTGCCGTGGTATCGTCCTCCCCGCCCACGCCAGCCTGGCCTACCTAGTTCAAGACTATCCTGAACTACAAAGTGAGACCATCTCGCAAAAGAAAAAAAAATAGATATAAAAAAAACAAAAGAAAAACACAAACCCCCCTCTTATTTGCTACTGACATCCCCCAAAGTTCAGGTAAGGAGTAGAAATCAGAGCCAGGGGTTAGGCTTTTCTAAACTGAAGGACAAAATTTGAAAGGCAAATCCTAAGGACATAAAACAAGCCCTTCCCAAGTGCAAGGGACTGAACGGTAATTGATTTCCCATGCTAAATAAAAGCCGACACCCAACAGTCAGTCTCTACCGTGTTTCACCGACAGGGCCCAATTTTTAAACATAGTTTTGAAACAACTACACGGGAGGATTCCGGCTGCCACTATGTGCACAAAATCAGTGTGGAAGCCACCACTCCACGCAGAAGCAGGAGGAAAGTGCAACACAGTAAATAAATAAATAAATAAATAAATAAATAAATAAATAAATAAATAAATAAAAATGAGTAGGTTCCATTAGCTCTGGGAGTGCACACATGGGGCAATGGGGCAAACCCCTGCCTGGTGTTGAAGAGGTGTGGGCAGAGAGAGCTGTAATTTACCGCAGCAGAGACCTCTATTGGAACAGTGCGAGGGAGAACAAGGAACTCCTTGATGGACAAGTTGGGGAGAGTGGGGGTTTGGCTCTTGTCATTGGTACTCCATGCCTTGTGGAGGTTGTTATTCTCTCTCCATCACTGGGTCTAGAGCGTCAAGCCTTGGTGAAGCATTCTACCACTAAAGCTGTCCCTTCAACCTGGACACCGCGTGCTTTTGTGAATTTTGACTCCAGGAGCTCAGGCAGGCCTCATAGTAAATGCCATAGAAAAAAATTTTTTACGAGACAGGGTTTCTCTGTATTGTTTTGGAGGCTGTCGGTCCAGCCTGTCCTCGAACTCACAGAGATCCGCCTGCCTCTGCCTCCCGAGTGCTGGGATTAAAGGCGTGCGCCCGGAGCCATAGAAAAATTTTCATTGTTCCAGGTGCAGGAGGAGAGGAAAACTAACGTTTAAAAATACAACAGTGGGGGGAGGTGGGGTGCCAGAGAGGCGGCTTAGTGGCTTACAAGCCCATACTGTTCTTGTAGAAGACTCAGTTCAGTTCCCAGCACCTATGCTGGGTGGCTCACAACTGCCTGTAACTCTAGCTCCACAGGGATCTGACACCTCAGGCTCCCATGAGCACCTGCAGTCACACACACACACACACACACACACACACACACACACACACAATTAAAAATAACAAAAATAGCCAGGTGTGGTGGCACATGCCTTTAATCCCAGCTGGCAGGAGGCAGAGGCAGGTGGATCTCTGTGAATTGGAGCAATTTCCAAAACAGCTAGGGCTGTTATACAGAGAAACCCAACTCAAAAACCCAAATATGATGATGATGATAAATATTAAACAAATACAAAGTGAGAGCTAGAGAGATGGCTCAGAATTAAGTTGGACTCTTACTTAAAATTAAATACAACTTCAAATGGCTCCAAGACCTAGATGTAAGACCCCCCCAAAAAAACAATAAAAACCCTTAGGAAAAAAACACAGGGAACCACTTTTAGAGCATTGACCATGATGAATAGTTTTGCAGGTAAATTTAGTCAAGCAATAAAGGAGCAGCACCAACCTTAGGAAGCCCTTTTGAAAATACAAGAGACTCCTCCCACATGACCAGCAAAACCCTTACTCCAAGCACACGCTTTACAAGAAAGGAAATTATAAGCAAAACCCTAGCAAATAAAACCCAATAATATATGTATATGTGTTTGATATACGCATATATATTTATGCATGCACAATAGCATGACTGACTGGCTTATTTAGGAATATAGAGTTGGCTTACAGCTGATATTAGTTGTATTCATTAGCTTTTTGTTGCTGTGGCAAAATACCCAACGTAGACAACTTAATGAGGAATGACTTGTTTGGGATCTTGGTTTTAGAGTTTTTGGTCCACAGTCATCTGGCTCCCTGGCTCTTAGACTTTTCGCTAGGCCAAAGCACCAAAGGGGAATGCTCACAGTGGACAGGAAACAGAGAGAAAGGCAGCAAGAGACACCCCTTAGAGGTGCACCCACATGACCTTCCTTCAAACTGGCCCTGCCTTCCATCAATGGCTAACCTGCAGGTGAAGTTAGCATTTTTATGATCTAAGCATCCTCTAAAAGTCTCACCTCTGAACACTGCTTACAACGAGGACCAAGCTCAACACAAGCTTTTTGGGGGACACACTTTGTATCCACACATCAATTTACAGCATTATGGGGTATGTGTACAGGTATACACAGTTAGATGTGCATCCGTCACCGTGTATAAAAATCTGCCCTACTTTTACATTTTCACTTATTTATGTGCGTATGTGCACGCATGAGTGTGTGTGTGTGTGTGTGTGTGTGTGTGTGTGATGCATGGGAGGTGGTGTGGGGATACACATGTGCCACAGAGCACACGTGGAGGTCAGAGGACAACTTGGAGTTGGCTGTCTCTGTCCATCTTGTGGGCTTTCCGGATTGAACACAGGCCATCAGACCTGGCAGCAAGCGCCTTCACCCAGAGTCGTCTGGAATGGTCTCTAATTACTTTAAAAGTGGCAAAGGGTAGCTATGGGGATGTATCAATAGGCACAGTGCTTGCCATGCAAGTGTGAGGACCACAGTTCAGATCCCCAGTGCCCACAAAAGTGATTGGTGACTGTAGAAGCCCACATGGGATCCCAGCATTCAGGAGGCAGAGGCAGAATCTACAGAGCAAGCTGGCCAAGCTAGCCGGGTTAGTGAAGTCCGGGTTCAAGTGAGAAACCCTGCCTCACTGTACAAAATGGAGAGTAATCAAGGAAGATGCCTGATGTAAAATGCTTAGGCACACGCATGCATGAGCACACACACACACACACACACACACACACACACGTGTGCGTAAGTGCATGCTAAAAGAAAGAAAGAAAAAGAAAAGAGATGATTTTTGAAAAGGGGAGGGGAGGGAGGAAAACCAATGAGGCTCCCTAGTTCTAGGCTGCACATCAAAAGACTGGTTATCCTTCAAAGCCACCCCAAGTTCATGGCCAAAACATCATCTCCTCATCATAGAAGAACATGCTGTTCTCTATCCTAACGGAGTAGATGCCCATTCATCTGCCTTTCCCAAAAGCACTTTTAAGTGATTAAGATGCAAATTTTTTTAAAGTTCGGGGAAGGACCGGAACATGGCAGCATGTCAACCTGTTTGCATTTTCCTCCCTCCGATGTGTGAGAGCTCAGAGCCCCGGTCCCCACCCTGGCTCTCCTTCGAGTTTTGGAGTTGTAATTCCTGTCTGATTGTGATCACTTTACACAGCCCTATTACTTCATGGTAGGGTTTACGATTCCAGCATTGTGGTGCCAAGGGCTTTCTGGCAGGATTTGACCTGCATGAAATCAGTTCAGCCTGGAGGGCCCATGCCTCTTAGATAATGTAATACTAGGATGCTGATCCCCGAACTTTCCCTCTGAGGCCACAGCAAAGATCTGCTTTGTCTGAGGTTTAGGAACCAAAGATTCTTGAAGCATTTCTAAGATCCCTGGAGCTGTGAACTCAAAGGGCCTATTCCAGTTTTGCAACCACATTTTACACTCAGAAAATAAATTTTGGGGAAAAAAAAGAAATTTTGTAGTTTTTTAATTATATACTTCTTTGAAAATCTCCAACATGAAATAACTAAATCAAACTGAAATATCCATCGAGTCCTAGCCAGAGTTTCTTGCCTATTTTTATTTTGTCTTGTTTTTCACTGATTAACTTCAAAATGTTAGGGCTCCAACTAGGTGCAAAATACTGGGGTAAGCATTTGAAGACAATACAGAGTTTAATCTTTCACTGGACATGGGTGGCGCGCTCCTTTAATTCCAACATTCAGGAGGCAGAGACAAGCGAATCTCTGTGAGTTCAAGGCCAGCCTGGTCTACAGAGTGATTTCCAGGACAGGCTCCAAAGCTACACAGAGAAACCCTGTCTCAAAAATAAAAAAGTTTAACCTTTTAATTTTAACTTTATTTGTGTGCACCTGTGTGCATGCATGTGAATGCATAGTCATGGGTGTGTGTGTGTGTGTGTGTGTGTGTGTGTGTGTGTGTGTGTGTGTGTGTATGAATCCGACAGCAAATGTGTATAGGTCAAAGAACAACCTACAGAGTGTCTGTGTCCTTCCACGGTGTGGATGCCTGGGATCAAATCATGACGGCAGGCTTGGAAGCAAGTACCTTACCCACTGCGCCAGTAATGTTTGGTCAATTTGATACGAACTGGAGTTTGGGGAAGAAAAAGTTCTCTCATTTGGAAAGAGGGAGCCTCAATTGGAAAAAAATAAAAATGAAAAATATCCCCCATAGGATCGGCCTGTTGGCAAGTAAATCTGTGGGGCATTTTCGAGATTAATGACTGATATGGGACCACCTAGCCCCCCAGGTGGCAGAAAGCAGACTGAGCAAGGCACAGAGAGTAAGTCAACAAACAACATTTCTCCTCTGCCTCTGCCTCTGCCTCTGCCTCAGCTTCTGCCTCAGCCTCTGCCTCTGCCTCAACCTCTGCCTCTGCCTCAACCTCTGCCTCTGCCTAACCTCTGCCTCTGCCTCAACCTCTGCCTCTGCCTCAACCTCTGCCTCAACCTCTGCCTCTGTCTCAACCTCTGCCTCTGCCTCAGACTCTGCCTGGAGTCCTCCCCTGACTTCCCTCTGCGACGGAACTGTGACCTGGGACTTGCAAACCAAATAAACCCTTTTCTCCCCAAGTCGCTTTGGTCATGGTTTTCATCACAGCAGCAGAAAGTAAACTGGAGCATCCACAAAGCCACCTCACCGGCCCCATGAGACATTTCTAAACTACACACACAAGGCAGCCATTGAGCGGACCACAGAGTAGGGAGACTTCGGCCGCTCTGCTAAGTAGACTTTGAAAGTCCACCCTCTGAAACAGTTTATTGCCAAGTAAATGCCACTTTTAAGGGTCCCTCAGCTCCTATTTCATCAGCAGCCAAAGTGGCATTTCGAGTCTAACTTGGAGCAAACTGCTCTCTGTGTGAAAAGGAGTGGAGAAGAAGAGGCCAGAGCCCTGAGCCAGCCGCAGGAAGGCCTCGTTTCCACTTTGGTGGGTCCAGAATGCCGTCGCTGGGCCCTCCTGCCAAGCCCAGGTACAGTCGGGGTAGTCAGAGGTGCATGCTGTGTGCTTCTCAAAGAAAAGCACCACACCTTGTAGGTAGAGATCTCACACACCGCAGCACTGGGCGTGGTCACAGGTACATGGTGTAAAGACCAGGAAGGAGGAAGGGGTCCCGCTCTCTCTTGGGGCTGCCATCGAGGTAGCAGGCCAGCACAGCAGCGTTGAACTCAGCTCTCAGCTTCTCATGTAAGTGACTCCTCTCTCTCTAATAAAGTATCATGTGACTTCCCTGCCCAGTATCCTTGGTGCGGCTCATTTTCCATCATCAAACCCCCCTCTCCCAGGGAACCCCCACGGTGTGTACAAGGGAGGTAGGGTGAGGGGCTCTACTTACCAGTAATGTAGAAGGCCTTGTGACGGTCCAGGCGGATAGTCTGCAGGCCTCCATACTCTCCAGCAGCCCCACTGTTGGGATGGAACAGTACCTGGAAACAGAGGGGAGCCCGTGTCTGAGAAAACCACGCTGCGCCAGCGAGATGGTGCTGTGGGAAAATGTGTTTGACGGACAAGCCTGCCGTTCTGAGCTCGATCCCAGGAACCCACACAAAAAAATCCAGATACTGTGGTGCACATCTGTTACCTCAGCACTCTTTCTAAGACTGGCCACGGAGAGAGAATCAGCTAGAAGCCGTGGGGGGGGGGCGGGCAGGCAACTGTGCTTGAGTTGAGAAACCTCACCTCAGCAAAGTGAAAGGTCAGAACCAACTCTCAAAAGTTGCCCTCTGACCTCCACAGGCAGATGTGGCACACATGCCCCACCCCCCCGCACATACTACATACATGCCTATGTACACATGAAAGGAAATCATGCTAAGTGTCATGGTCTACTCTATCCCCCATACCCACACCCACACCCCGAAATACGGTCAAGCACAAGCCTGTAGCCGATGCTAGCCAACTCCTGGGAGCCACTGTGAAATTGTCGTTTCACTAGGTGCTTAGGAGGGATGGTTACAACTCTGCAGCTGGAAGACCTCACTGGGTAAATCGGATTCACAGGCGCAATGCTGGCTCTGCAATCTACAGGGTTCTGAGTGTCTGGGCAAGCACTTTTTAATTTCACAAATTGAAACTTCCAGCACAGCCACAGCAGCGCTTTAAAACAGCCTCGGGGCCCTTCTCTGAGAGGAGCTGCTTAGGTTATACACCCAGGAGTCCTGCCAGCAGTTGTTGCAAGAAGCTACCTGCAAAGATGGCTTACAAATATCGTGGGGCTTGTGAAGAAGCCCTGGCCTCTTCCGCCTCATATTGCCTCTCTAACTCTCTTCAGCAAGAACGGCACAGCTTCACCGCTACACCTTTTATTTCAGTACTGGGGGTCGAACCCAGGTCCACCCACAGGTTAGGCACACACTCTATCCCTGAGCCACAGCTCCCACCCAAGCCTAGCCTGAAGCGACACCCATGACTCAGTCCTACTGTGCTGCTGAGGAACTCTTTCCTGATTCCGTCAGGCATGGAAGAACTACCCTGAGGAGCGGAAACACTTAATTCAGAGGTCCCTAGAGAAGGACTTGGTAGGAAATAAAAGGCCAGCATCCTTGGTAGGTTGGTGGCTTTGGGCTGGAGGCATGAGACTGCCCCGGTATGAATCATGTCTGTATATATTGCCGGGAAGGCACTTACATGATTCAAAGTTTCTGTGGGGCTTGGGGAAAAAAATAACGAGAAACATCTGTTTGAAAGGGAAACAGCTGCCCCCCTGCGCCCCTCCTCGCCAGTTTCAGTACCCTGAGAGGATACTGTCCTGGGCAGGGCTCCCCCACACCTGCTGCTTCCCCCACCCCCATCAACCCTACAAACACCCCCAGCAAGCTTCCCCCGAAGAAGAAAGGAAGTCATTACTGAAAACCTCACTTCTTCCATCCCCAGAAAGCCACGCCTGTCACAACAGGACATTGCTTTGTTTTCTTGAGAAAGGCTGGGGTGAGAGGGGATGTGCCACCAAAGGACACAGGACTCCTTCTTGAGTCTCCCATCTGTCCAGGCTCACAGAAGACACAGTCCAGGTCGGTCTCCCCAAACCATGATGTCCTTTGGGGCTCGACAACAGAACCTCTTGAAGGAGAGGCTGCCACATTCAAAAGGTATAAGTGGCACTAGCAGAAACTTCCAGAACCTAAGAAGCAAAACTGGGATGTCCAGTACTTAGAGATGGGGGTGGATTTTGAGACACTCATATAAGTCACCCCGCTTGGAGTCGACTGTCGACAGCTTTCTTGTTTACGTCAACCTAGGAAGAAGACTGTAAGCTTGCACGCAATCATGGCTGAACTATTTCCTCTCCAGATGTGTGGTCCACAGTTCAGGGCCGACTGACTGTTTTTTCTGCAAACCTGTACAGGCTTCTTGGTTCCTTTTCTTTCCTATGTGCTGGTCTGCTTTGTTACATTCTTGTTGTTTTGTTAAGCGTGGCAGTGTCACCCCTCACAGTATTATCTCCTGAGGTGTTGTCCCACACCCCATCAGGCTGGAGTGTACACAGCTTCAAATCTCCAAAAGCAAGAGTGGGGGTGTGTGTGTCAATCATCTGCATGGCACTCTGTGTGACACCTGAGGCCTCCCTAAGAGAAGCGATGGTGTTCACGTTTCCTCAGTATATGGCTTCTGGTGTGCCAAACTGTTTATAGACCACAGCTGACCCGTAGATGCGGAGGAATTAAGGAAATTTTCCCTTCATTGACAATATTTGGACCTGGTCATGAAAGCCGTGACTTGTTCATTCATGATGTCGGCCACCTCCAGCTTCCATCTTGGAGTCAGGGGAACAGAAAGTGGGTCACAAGGTTCTGAAATGTGTGCCCCTCCCCCATCAAGCTCCAGGCTTTCTCTTTGTGGTTGCTCTTCTTGCCTATAAAGGGTTAAAAATATGTAGATCATGCAGCCAGAGATCAGCTACTGAGGTCTTGGAACATCGCAGACTCGACCTTCCTAGAAGGAATGGAGTAGGTCATGAGACGGTGGGTTTGAAAGCCAGCAGTCACTGCTTGTCTTATGCCTCTCATTCCATGGCCCTGGGAGATGAATGAGGATTTGTGTGTCTATGCTGTTTCTCTCTTCAACTCTGGGCTACCCTTGCAATACAAAGAAGCCAACCACTGAGAGGCATCTGCATAACATTTTGAGCTGACTATCTAAGAAGTTCTTTGGACTTCTAAAAACTGGAATGGTTTTCTAAGCCAACCCATATTAGAGTCCTTCTAAAAGGAGGTACAAGGGGCTGGACAGATGGCTCAGTGGTTAAGAACAATTCCTGCTCTTGCAGAAGACCTGGGTTTGGTTCTCAGCACCCATATTGTAACTTTACCTGCAGGCAATCTGATATCTTCTGATGACTGTGGGTACGGCATGCATGTAGTGCACACACATAAATTCAGGCACACACAATGCATGTGAAATAAATATTTTAGTCATACATATATACTATATATGGATGGATGGATGGATGGATGGATGGATGGATGGATGGATGGACACAAAATCATTTGTTCTGATCTTCTGGCCTCCTCTAAAACTATTACAATTGGGAGACAATTTGGTCTCTTCATTTCAACACTTTAGGCTGACCACAAAAAAAAATGGCCATCAACTAGCCTTGTTCTTAAATTTCAAAGTGGTCTTCTCTAGAGCGTCTATGGACATTGGCAGAAGCCAGTCTTCCTGGAGACTGAGCACAGAACCCACATGCAGACACCGTTAAAAGCTCCCTGTAGGCAGAAGGCTAGCTGGCTCTTGCTAGGCCACAGGTGTGGTGAGGAAATAAACAAGCCCCTCTTGGGCTAGGTTACCAATACAATGTAGGTCCCCGATGGTGTCAAGACTTGTAACTGTTTCTCCCACTTGGTTCCTGGACCTAACCCAGTGAGCACGCACAAGTCTGTTGCTAAAGGACTACAAAGCTCTGACAGGAACAGAAGTAACCTCATGAGGGAGCTGGCATCCACAGAACTTCAGCAGTGATCAAGGAGATCACTTCCGGGTGACCCCAATTACTCTTCTATTAGTAGCCATGGCAATAAACACTCAGGAGCACCTCTCCACGGAAGTCATACAGCTAATGCTGCAGGAGTCACGGCATTTCCGGCTTAAGGTAGAAACCGTCTTCCTGTGTCATGCTGTTCCAGAGGGCCAGGCCCAGAGAATCCGAAGCTCAACAGAGAGTGACCCAAGACTCCTTCAGAGGACTGCTCGGGTCTCAACTGCCAAGTCCTAAGAGCTTCAATGTTGTGCAGAAGTGTGGGACACCACTCAAGGCTGGGGTTCTGGATGACATGGGAAGGTTCCTCGTGCCCATAAGCACAACTCAACCACTCCCATGGGACCCTCCCCTCAAAGTCAAATAGACCCTCAGAAGCATGGGTCTCCACCTGGTTTGCTGCTGGGTGCTCGCTGGACGGCACTCAGGGGTCTCCAAGATCCTACAGCCTCCCCCCCCCTTCCTCTTCCTTTTAGTAAATGGAAAACACATGAAAGTGATAGGTAGAGCCCAGCTGCTATTTCGTGTTCCAGAGCACTCTGAGGAGGGGGCAGTGAGGAGGATCCTGGAATGCAGGAGCCCCAGACTCACTACCAGAGGCTGCTAATTCAAGAACAGGCAGATAGCTATGGTGGCATATACCCTCAATTCCAGCACTCAGAGACTGAGCAGAAGGATTGCAAGTTCTACATCAGCCTGTTGCAAGAGGGTCTTTTAAAAGTAAACAAGCAATCAGCAACAAGATAACGGGATGGAAAGTATGTGCTGAGCCCTCCCAGAGCAGGGAGAATGCTGGGAACGGACAGACCCTGCTGACTTTCATTCATCATTTGTTCATCCACTTTGAGCGCTGTGGCCGCTGGCTGGGTACGGATGCTGTTAGGTACGTGACATCTGAAATCTGAACCCAACAGATGGGACCCTTGCCCCCAGAGAGCTTCCATTCTAGCTGAGCCTACAATTCCACAGTCATCTTGTCCAACAAAAAAAATGTGCTGAGTGCCCAAGCTATGTCAGAAAATTGAGTGCATGCAGAAAGAAAGAAAATTAAGCCGTAGAGATAATAAAGAGTCACATTATTCTAACACTATGCCAAAATGTCAAATATGAATCTGGATTGGCAAACTGAATTACTGGAGGCAATTCGTCGCTGAAATTCATCACCGGGAATCTTTGCATGGGGTCTTTTATGAGCCATTGGCATGAGCCTTCCGAGGTAGTCATTGGTACAAAGGTAGCAGGTGTGAGATGAGAGACACGGCCCAGACACAAGCTTCCTCTGCTTACCCTGTGCCCCACCTGGGACCTGCCAAAGAGCACCTCGGAGGCATCAAGCCCATCGAAGTTCCGGTTTGGAGGCAAGCTGGCTCCTGCCAGGGCTATTGCCGTGGGGAAGATGTCTAGCACGCTGCAAAAAGAACAAGACACGGTTGGCTTCGACTCCTCCAACTCTCCCCAGCAGGCTTTCCTGTGACCAAACCCCACCCGAAGCAGCCCAGAGTGCAAGCAGGTAGCCTCTCCTACAGCCCGTATCATTTCTCCTTGGGGTTCTACCTGAACCTTTGCTACAACAGGCAAGAGGTGGCCAGGTGCCACATAGGCTCAAATGCAGCCTCACCGCCTATCTAAGACCCAATTCTGCAGCCTCAGATTCCGTGAAACGTGCGGTTTACTAACAATAGCTGCCCCACAGAGAGGGAGTGTGGGTAAAACACGCAGAGAAGACATACAGAAGGATCCTGGCACTTGCTGGTTGTTTGTCTTATAATTACTAACAGGGTTACACCTTTGAACCCAGGGACTAAGAGTTGGCCGCTGCCTTATCAGGAGTAGTGTGTGGCAGGGTGGCAGGTGTCTGCAAGAAAACACTTCATTTCCCATTGCCTGAGACTCTCTCTCTCTCTCCCTCTCTCTCTCTCTGATTCTCTGTCTCTCTCTCTGTCTCTCTCTCTTGTGAATATTTAGTCTTTAACTGAACTATATGAAATTTTAGTTATGGCATGTGAAATACTCCAGTTCTCTGACTTAACTTTAACTCTTTTTTGCCCATTACAAAACAGCGAATGTCTTATGAGAAAAAAAACTTAGAACACACAGAAATATAAAAAAGAAACTAACATATAACTAGTGCACCCTTTGAGGGTAATTACTGTTAATATTAGTTTAAGAATTCAAATTCTGGGGGTTGAAGAAATGGCTCAGCGGTTAAGAGCACTGACTGTCCTTCCAGAGGACATGGGTTCAATTCCCAGCATCCACATTGTGGCTTACAACTGTCTGTGACTCCAGTTCTAGGAGATCTGATGCCCTTATACAGGTATACATGCAGGCGAAACACCGATCAATGCACATGAAATAAAAACAGACAGAAATAAATAAGTATTGGAATTCTTGTGTGTGCAGTATATGCAGGTGTGTGTGCAGTATATGCAGGTGTGTGTGCTGTATATGCAGGTGTGTGTGCAGTATATGCTGGTGTGTGTGCAGTATATGCAGGTGTGTGTGCAGTATATGCAGGTGTGTGTGCAGTAAATGCAGGTGTGTGTGTGCTGTATATGCAGGTGTGTGTGCTTGCCCACATGTACAGGGCAGAGGTTCACATCAGCTGTCTTTGCCTCTCCTCTACATCTTGTTTTCTGAGACAGGGTCTCTCAGCATTTCAGCTTGAGTAGCCAGTGAGGCCCCAGGATGCTTTTCCTTCCAGCACTGGGGTCCCAGATGTGCCTTGGTGTCCAGCATGTCCACAGGCTCTGGGGATCCAAACCCTCACACTGAGCCATCTCCCAACTCTCAAGATATTTGGTGGGTCTTGTTAATGTGATTTTATTCCTTTCTGTCGTGTTTGTTTGTCTTTTGTTAAGACAGTGTTTCAAGTACCCAGACCAGCCTTGAACCCCTGATCCTCTTGTCTCCCCTTTGTGAGGGCTAAGACTACAGGCTTGTGTCACGTGATTTCTTTTTTTTAAGTCATGTGGAACTGTACCACACTCCCTACTGCGCTCACATCACGAGGTGGGGGTGGATCATTCGGAGGAGTAGAGGGACTGTCCTTTCAGCAGAGCAGTTTAGAGAAGAGCCGAGGGAGCTGAGAACCAGTGGGACTTGTCAGAGCCGGGGCTGGGCCAACATGAATTCTGTCATGGGTTAGATTTTCCCAGAAAAGAGATCCTGATACCCAGAGGCTGGGACAGCATCAGAATTCAGGGTCACAGGTGGGAAAGCTCCCGAGGCTATGTCTTCCCAACGTATCCACCCTGAGTTCTAGGGAGTGGCTCTCTGCCTTCCACAGAGAAGGATGTGTGGCATCTGTAATCTGCCCCCATCCTTCCCCTCTCGGGGGATCTGCCTGTGACCTGTGGCAGAATTTCTTGTTGACTTCGGGACAAAGTGTTTCTGTTTGCCTGGAGTGTTCACAGTTCACAAAACTGTTGGCTTATCTCTTGAGATAGGCACTCCAGGAGCTGGCATCCCACACTAGTGTTCAGTCAAGGCATGCAGAGTCAGTACTCAGTGGAGTACAGAACAGTCTGGAAACCTGTCCAGAGTCCAAGGTTCCTGCCACAAACCAGGAAGCAAAGAGGTCTACAGTGTGGTCTGAAAAGGCTGAGGTAAACACACTCTCTCTCTGTCTCTGTCTGTCTATCTGTCTGTCTGTTTGTCTGTCTGTCTCTCTCTCTCTCTCTCTCTCACACACACACACACACATACACACACACACACACACACACACATGTGCGCGCAAGAGAGATCAGTATCAAACCCGTAAGCAAGAAAAACAGGATCTACAATCTACAATAGACTGTTTTAATTTATGTGCATATAAGCACTGTGGGGATGTGCACACCTGTGTGGAGGTGTCTACACATCTGTACACACACACAGAAGCTGATAAAAAGGTGTTTGCTATCCTCCTCTGACACTCTATTCCTTTGAGGCAGCATCTCTTCCTGAACCTGGGACTTTTGTGTTCTCTGCTAGTCTGGAAGCCAGCAAGCCCTAGTGATTTTCCTCACGCTGTCTTTACCCTGCCAACCTTGGAACTGGGGATACAGGCATCCAGCTTGTTATGTGGGTGCTAGGATCTAAAGCCCAGTCTTCTTGGTTGTTCACCAAGCGCTCTTGAGCAACACACACACACACACACACACACACACACACACACACACACACACACGGATGTTAGATTTTAAAATGAACTGGAGAGATAGCTCAGCTATGAAAGGCTTGCCTTGTAAGTATGAAGACCTGTGCTTGGTTCCCAGATACCATGTTACAAAAATCTGGGCAGCAGAATCCTCCCAGCACTGGGGAGGTGGAGATGAGTGGATCCTTGGGCCTCACTGGCCAGTCAGCCTAGCCTAATGAGCTTTAGGCCAGTGCTTGAGGAACAAAAGCTGAGGCTGTCCTCTGGCCTCCGCACACATGTACACACACATACACACACACACACACACACACACACACTCTCTCTCTCTCAGATGCACATACACTCACACACACAAACAGTCACGCATACACTCACATGCATGCATTTACACATGCATATACTCACATACGCACACTCACACATACACACACTCACAGATACTCACGCATACATACACTTAAACACACATTCACATACATACACTCACATACACACATACACTCTCACACATACTCTCATACATACATACAAACACACACTCACACACACACACACACTCACACTCACACAAATCTGAAGTGGACTGTAGGCTTTCTTTTTCCATCTTAAGAGACATGAGCATCACAGACAGGCCAAACTAGGGAAAGAGCCCCTGCATTACACTTTCAGAGTGAATTGCATCCTTCCTTTTCTCCTCTGTCTGCATCATGAGGTTTGGTGTCCTGACTCCACAGCACTAACCTAAGTCTAGCACTCAGGGAGCCCCGGTGGGACACAGTCTGACATGCGCCCTTCAGAGGATTCTAGTCCCCCAGAACTCGAAGAGAACGTTCACCCACCAAGAAAACTTCTTCGACAGGTCTGGCGGCTCACACTGCTCAAGGTAGCGCAGTCCAGTGTGGGCATGCCCAGGCTATCAGCAAGTCACTCCACAGAGAATGGCAGCCCAGCCCCTGAGCTTAGCCCCGGGAGAGGGAAATGCTCCCTGGAACACACCAACCCATGGCTGGGCTTTCCAGCACAGGAACCTGGAGTGCAGATCTGCCTTACGGAGGCTACTGGTGACCCTCCAAACCTCAGTCTTAACCCAAGAAACAGGTCCTGGAAGTCTTTGAAACCTTGAAGTAACAGAGCAAACGAAGAAGCGAAGCCCCAAACCTGCAGAACCCAACACTGCACGCCGTGTGTTCATCCTGTCCGTCAGAGCTGCATTCTAACCCAAGTGGGCATTTTTGCACTCACAGGTTTCTTCTTCTACTATAAAAGAGGGGCCTGCAAGGGGCATAGCTCTAGCCAAGTTCGATTCCCAGCACCTACATCAGGCAGCCCACGACTTCCTGTAACCTCAGCCTCTGTGAGCACCTGCACTTACATGTACATACCCCCCACACATACACAGCATTTGAAAAAGTCTTAAAAACAGAAAGAGATCACATTTTATAACTATTGACATAAAGACAAACATATCATAAACCATTTTATTCCACTTTAAAGTATTTTTCTTTTCCTTTCTTCTTTGCTCTGCATGTGTATGTTTGCAAGTATGTGAGAGTGGGTATGTGGTGTACACTCATTTATGTGCAGGCACACATTCGACACATCACCAGAATGCAGAAGAGGGTGTCACATGTCCTGTCCTATCGCTCGCCACCGTGTTCGCTAGAGACAGGGCCTCTCGCTGAATCTGGAGGTAGGCTGGCAGATGACAAGCCTCAGTGACTCTGCTATCCCCATCCTCCCGGGCTTTGGGGTTACAGGCATGCATTTGGCTTTTTCAGGATTTGTATGTGGGTTCTGGGGATTCAAACTCGGGTCCTGTACTATGCAAGTATTCTTACCAGCAGGACAGTAGTGGTGCACGCCTCTAATCCCAGCACTCGGGAGGCAGAGGCAGGCGGATCTCTGTGAGTTCGAGGCCAGCCTGGTCTACAGAGCGAGTTCCAGGACAGCCTCCAAAGCCACATAGAAACCCTGTCTCGAAAAACCAAAAAAAAAAAAAAAAAAAAAAAAAAAAAAAAAGAGGCAGAGGCAGATGGATCTCTGTGAGTACGAGACCAGCCTGGCCTATAAGAGCTAGTTCCAGGACAGCCTCCAAAACCCCTGCCTCGAAAAACGAAACAACAAAAAAAGGTATTCTTACCCACTGAGAAATCTCCCTAACCCCCAAGAATTTTCTTTTTTTTAAAGACAAGACTGTCATGTGTCTAAGGCTGGCCTCTAGAGTGCTCAGATTACAGGCAGGTGCTACCACACCCTGCTAT